AAATTTTACTGTTATTAAAATAATTTTTTTAAATGATTTTTTTGATTATTCTGAAGAGAATTTGTAAGAATTTCAAAACTTGAATCTATTACAAGTGATATAAATCAATTTGAAAATTTTTTAGAGTCAATAAAAAACCAGTAGAAAAAAAAAAAATGCGTCTGTAAATAAAGCCTCAATTTTAACAACATTTCGAGGAAGAATATATTATATTTATTTAGTGATAAATAGTACGCGTGAAATATAATAGAATACAAAAGAATAAAATTTAAAGTGATTTTGACCCTCAATGTCTTTTAGTTAACTGGAAATATACAATAGCATAACCAAACCATAAGACTGTAAGATGGTAAAGCTGTAAGAACAAAAAGGGTGAGCGACATTTGCAGACAATTGGTTTACATGTTTTGTTGCAGTTGGTTCATATCCATCAGCCAAGCCAAACTTTAAGTTACTATTTAACTAGAAAATTTAGGTGGACAACAACATGCGCATACAAACAGTATATATTATGGTCGATGATGACGAATATTTATGAGTTTATGATGTTACGGATTTATGACAGACTTTATTACCTAACATTTACACAATATGAGTCCTTGTTACTTCCTTTATTTTCGTCCTTAAGAATTTTTGACTTTACAAATTCACAGAAATTTTTCTTCTTTTCTCTGTTATATTTTATTTTTATTTATTTATATAGTTTTTTTTTTTTTTTTTTTTAATTAATTTTACTATAAAAATAATATAGGTAAGTAATTTTCTTAAGACTGAAAAAATTCCTGAGCTGAGAGTTTTGCTGAAATTCTAAAAAAAAATAAAAAAAAATTCCAAGTAATGATTTGGTTTCTCTTGAAGAATTCAAAAAATGTCACCATAATGTAAAAAAAAAAAAAATAGTTTAAAGGATTTAAAAATTATCAATGTAGTGTGTAATTAAGGTAAAAAATAATAAAATAATAATGAATAATTAAATGGTAAATTATCAATAATAAATATTAGTTTTAGCACACTATATCAATTGTATGATGTATCAAGCATGATGAGTTTATTGGTATAGGCTCATGTTCCCATCATATTACCATCTTGTCAGTAAATTTACAAGCACGTAAGAGAACAATAGTCCGAGTTTAAGATTTATAACTTTAAAGGACAAAACTCTGCTCGTTGTTAGAAAAGGAAAAAGATAAAAATTTATAATTTGTAGAGGAAGGAAGGAAGGAAGGAAAGATGAAGTTGTTTCCTGTGGACGTCACCAAAACTACCTGAATAAGCTCAAGTCTCAAGTCTCAAGCCTGAAGACTGGATGAAAAAAAAGAAGAAGAAGCTATAGCTAGCGTGGTAGTATAGGTAGTATAGGTAACTTGGGTAACTCGAGGCCGCTGGTTTTGGGTTTCCGGTTTTTGGCTGTGTTAGACTATGTGTATAGGTGGATGAGTCCCGAGACCAAACGATTTTGCCCACCGAGAATTCAAAACCTAAAAAACCAAGAACTTGGTGGCCAAACTTGAGGCTCGAACCAACTACTGGACCTTTTTCTATATCTCTCTTATTATCACACGGCATTTGAAATATGCCTCCCTAGCTGCCTGTTTGCCTGTTTGCCTGTTTGCCTGTTTGCATGCCTGCTGGGTGTTACAAAGTTACAAAGTTACAGAGTTACAAAGCTAGAAAATACAGATGAAAATAATTTTTAAAGAAAATCTCTATCTGTACTGGCTATTGCTTTATTTTAGTATTTATCGAGAGTAAACGACAGTGAGAAAACTATGAGTTTGGGCACCTGGCACCCCGTCGCCGTCGCAGTGTGATGCGTCAACACGCTCTTCAAAATTATACTCACAATTCAATTTACCCCTATCTACCATCTACCATCTACCATCTATCCATCAGAAAATTTTCACTGGTATGGATATACATAATATAAATAATAATATGTATTTAAGATGACGATTTCTCTTATAGATAAAAAACGCGGAAGTTACTTTTAAAACAAGATTGACTGGAAATAATTACTGTCTTATTATTTGTTTCATTTTTTATTATTTAAGTATTCAAAAATAAACCGTAAATAATCCACCCTCAACTAATAGACCAGACAGACTAAACAGACTATTGAAATTCTCACTTCTGCTTCTGTATTTTAGTTACTATGTATAATATAATAATAATAATAATAATAATAACAACAACAACAATATATTTTCTGTTTATAAGAAAGCTGTCGATAGGTTATAGAAAAATCTTGGATGGATCATATCTGATGCCGATACAATCATAAATCATCTCTTTTGCATAGATCACCACGGAAATTGCGGTTTCAAAAACGTTCAGTACGCTACTGTTAAAGATCACACAGATAATATAATACTTGTTTCCAACAGCTTCTGGATACTTGTACCTATATTATATTATTGTCTTCTGTACAGCATGCGGTAGTTACCTCTGTGGTTTTTCCTTTAAAAAGGATCATTTTAGATTTTTGACAATACCAACAGTATAAGTAATGCTATAATACCACAATAGTCAGTTTCATTTATATAATTTTTTCATCAACAACTTTCTTTCCTTCTTTACTTTTATTTTCTTTTTCTTCCGTACGTAATATTTACGTATTTAAAAAGATAACTTATTTCTATCAGACTAAACCAAATTCTAGAAAAATAAAAAAAAAACTTATTGACCTTTTACATTTATTCATGATCTTTGAATACACTTTTCACAAAAATTAAGGAAGAAAGAAAAAAATCTTAATTTTAACTAGACATTTGGAGTTACAATTTGCCTTTTTTTTTTTTTATTTGCTGTACGACCATTTTTCTTCAAGTTACAGCCTATTGAAAAATCCCCAAAAATTTTGATTTAATTAATTAAATCCCCTTAATTATTGTGACAAGAGTGTATTAAAATTAATTCTGTAAGGAAATCCCAAAATTATTTGGGGCTTAAAAAAAAAGGCTTTGGGTTTTTTTTTTAATCTGTATTACAGGAATAGGGGATTTTCCTGCTAATGAGTATATATAATTCTAAGAAAACTTGTTTTATAATTTGAATTTAAGGATCAGTCGGAACTCAATAGACAAAATTTTGAACTCGTCATTTAAGTTAAAAGTACAATTGAAAGCACTCTTAAGAAAATAATGATTATTTACAACGGAGAATTTTGCAATGCAGCTGTCTTATTGTTAACTTTAAATAAAGATACATTTTCAAATTAACTCATTCAAGTATTTTTATGAAAATGTCAATGGAAAACAATAGTAATTAACTTTCTATTATGAGGATTAGTCGAAAATAAGGGACAACCTTATTCTTAAGATAGTATAATTTATTGCCGTTTCGACTTTTCCTGTAATTAAAAATCCAACCTTTTTGTTTTGCAGAAAATAAAATATTTTATTACTTATATGTAGTTGGGAAATTTCCAAGTGCAAAGACAAAATACTTGAAAATATTTATTGTCCCTGGTTGAGTTCCTGAAATCATTTAAATTAAGGAATCTTATATGTATATGTATCTGATTTTCTTTGGTAGCCGGATAGGGTTTAACAAATTTTTTAAAAATACTAATAGAAGCGGGAAAAAAAAAAAAAAAAAAAAAAAAAAAAAATAAGAAGAAAAATAACTGTGAGTAAATAAAGCGAATCGAAAGGAGGTGTCAGGGAGTGAAAAACCTGCAATTTCTTAAAAATAAACTTAAAAATCTAGCATCAGACTGGAGGATATACCTGGCAATGATCACTAGTCTAAAAACTAGCTAGCTCCCATCAATGTTTATTATCGTATTCATAAGTCACTACTCAACACAATCCAAAATCAAAATTGAACAATCCCGTGAAAAATCAGTTTTAACAAAACCGTATCAATACAGTAGTGTATGATGCTGCTTCTTCTTTAAAATCTCTTACTCTATCTATATTTCATGTTTTAAAGTTTAGAATAAGACGGTAAACAATTATTCAATCCACATGGTGAATGCCAAGAGCGTTATTTTGGGTTCTGTGTGACCAAAGGACCTCCTGAGGTCGTTAAATTTTCCGTTACGTTGACTTTAAATCTATCCTCATCATCCTCATCAGCAAATCCTTACTTTTCTCTTAAAGTTTCAAATTATTACTACTAAAATACAAAATTACTCTGCTAATAGTCAATTATAAATTATAAAAGAATTTTCATCCAAGTATTAAATATATAATAAAATTTAAATATTATATTTATAATAAATTGGAGATTAAACTTGAAAAACTATTATTCTATTTGATTAAAGAATTATTGGTTGAGTTTTTAACTAAGATATCACGATACACAAATTTTGGTACCTTGCATGTTGAACCAATTGACCATGATAATTTTAGTTTTTCGGATTAAATATATACAACAAAAAAAAAAAAAAAAAAGAAAAAAAAAAAACTTTTTTAGTCACAATTGTTGTTTAACGTTGACGGTAATTGATAATTAAATTTTCATGGATGATAAAAAATATATTATAATATTTGAATTTAAATAAAATGGCGAATGGCGAATAATGAAAATTAATATATTAAAATTAGTATAGAATATAAATGATGAATGAGTAGAATAAGGCAGGCGGAGCTTGTTGAACCCTGAGTCCTGATTGGTAACATATTCCAGGTAAGTTGTAGATCTCCCCTCCAGATCTTTAAAACCTGGGTACGACAAATAAAGAGGCTTGCTTGGTAAATGCTTGGTGTTGCCAGCATCTGAGATCTAAACCAAGGTGGGCGGGTCTTCAAGGTCTGTTTAACTCGAGATCATCTAGCTTGTTACTTCAGTTCTTGTCGAGATTCTCAACCGAATCGATCCAAGCCAAAGCTTGATCATCAGTAGTCAAAACTTGGATATAACTCATTATTAAATATTTAGTAGTCAGTGTAATTTTAGGAATAATGTAATATTAAAAGTGGATATCAGTGATTTGTTCTGTTTGGTTTTATAAGTGGGATTATTTTTTTTTTTAATTATTAATTTTACCACGTGAGATGACGGTTACTAATTCGAATTATTCAATGATGAAACCGTGCATATCTACATACCCTTATCAAGGTAAGAATTATATTTACCACGTGTTATAGCTCATAAATTAAAAATAAAATATTATTGTTCTTTTTATACTCATTATTCCTGGAAACAATTGAAAATATTCTTCCTTTGTCTTTTTATATTAAATATAAACGGTTTGAATAAACTTTTCTCAATAATAAATATCAATTCGAAAAATTAAATTGCCGTAGTATAATACTTGAAGGGCTGAAGGTCCATCAACAATAGAATTTTATTGGGTGTTATAACTCAAGTGTCCCTTTAGCTATCCTTGAAGTTGTTTGAATTTTGTTAGTGTGTTGAATAACTCGAATCGTATAAAATAAGAATTTGATTTAAAGATTAAATTAAACAATTATTCAGTAGATCTTGGATCAATTCCTGGGCAAGGGCGATATAATCAATTGGGAGGTGTTTTTATTAATGGAAGACCATTACCTACTCACATACGGTTAAAAATTGTTCAATTGGCAGCAGCTGGAGTCCGACCTTGTTCGATATCTAGGTAAATATTTAATAATAATTATTAATATTATTTTATAAATAATAATAATAATAATAATTATTATTATTATTTTTATAATAGACAACTACGAGTATCACATGGATGCGTGTCAAAGATATTAAACCGATACCAAGAGACCGGTAGCATTCGTCCAGGAGTTATTGGTGGAAGCAAACCCCGTGTGGCGACTCCGGAAATAGAGGCCCGAGTAGAAGAATACAAACGTAAGAACCCTTCAATATTTTCGTATGAAGTACGCGATCGTCTGATCGAAGATGGTCTTTGCGATCGCACTACAGTACCAAGTCTTTCAGCACTCTCAAGACTCCTGAGGAATCGTGATCCCGAGCAAAATGAGAGTACCATGGCATCATTACCCGACGGTAAGCTAAATTCAAACTCTCTACAAATATAACTTTTTATTATTATTATTTAAATTAAAAAAGAAATAAAAATGATCGAGAAAACGGTGAATTAAGCGATATATGTACATCATCTGATAAATTTACGGGTACTGCTCGCAAAAGATTAACGGTTTATACCTTATGATGATCAGCTCTGTAATTTTCTCGCCGCTCGCCATGGGGAGTCTTTTTAAATAGCTACCATTTGCTTCTTCATTCGATACAATATCTTGTATTATTATTATTATTATTATTATTATTATATTATTCCTGTTTCATCAATTCTCTTCCGCTTTATATTATTTTTTAGTTTATTTCATTATAAGATCGATAGTGTTGACGGATCAATATTTATATTTATGTATTTTGTGGTTCAACTGGTGGTTTTTAAAATCTCCTCAATCAAGTTGAATGTTTTCAAACACGCGGCAGATCAAAGAAATTAAAAAGAAAATAATAAAAAAAAAAAAAAAAAAAAAGCGTCTGTCTGGATGGTGTTGTAAGCCGATACACGGATAAGCAGGGTCATTCTTGAGGGTTTGACGCCTCACCGGCTGCTCTATACCAACTTTTCTCGGCTCATCAACATCATCACCAGTACAAGCAATCTTTGGCGCCTATAAAGTATACTCAAGACTCCCTTAATAAAAAAAAAAAAAAATTCCCAGAGGGTGACTGCTTTTATAATTACAAACAAATTTTAAAAATTAAATCTAAAAACATAACGTTGAAATAATTTGTTTTTAATTTTTTTATAAACCCAAAAATAGAGTTGTAGCCGTGTCGAATTAAACGACTTGTCAGGCGTCGTTGAACGATTGGACGCGGTATTAATGAAATATTTGGTTAATGTGTGTTGGAAACAGGAAAAATCAACTCTGGGTCTGACTGCGAGAGTGAACCGGGAATTCCGCTGAAGCGCAAGCAAAGAAGAAGTCGGACGACATTCACCGCTCATCAGCTTGATGAATTAGAGGCCTCATTTAAACGGACTCAGTATCCGGACATTTACACTCGGGAAGAACTCGCTCAGAGGACCAAGCTCACCGAGGCCAGAATTCAAGTCTGGTTCAGCAACAGGCGAGCTAGACTTAGAAAAACCCATAATTCTGCACCACAACCACCCCCACCACCACCACCACCTGGATACATGCCTAGTTATCCAACAAATGGTTACCTTCATTCAGGACATCCTCATGGACATCATGTATATCCTGGACACGGAGCAGCTACTACAGGTGCTGCGCCAATCGCTAATCTTCCCACACATCCAACGCAGGCTCACTTGCAAGAATCTTCATTCTCACAAGGTTCGTAAAACTAAAATAAAAATAAAAAAAAAATATATATATTAATATTAAAATATAAAATAATAATATTTAACTTACAGATTTATATTCAACACTTCCTGATATTTCAATAGAACAAAACCTGCGTTTAACCTGCAATACATCCTCATCATACATGTTACCATCAAGTTACCCCCCATCAACACTGGTCCCGAGCAACGAACCACCTCAACAGGTTCAATCTTATCACCAGCATTCACATCAACTTCCACCTACCCCAAACTCTATTTCAAACATTATGTCCGAACAATTGTCACCTTCGACTGATCTCACCTCAATCGGATCAGTCTCGCCAACAGAACACCACCAAAGACTTCAACAACAACAGTCAACAAGTCAGGATGAGTCCCCACCGACTTGGAATCAACATCCTATTAATGGACGACTTCACTCTCCCTCGGGGATCCACCATCAAACTTACACTGGGCATCATCAATCTTTCACCGGGTACGCGTCAAACGGGTTTCAACAACCATCCAGATCTTCTTTTTGGTATCACTCACAGTAAATTTTACTAATTATCATTTCATTTCTTAACTTTTATGTTTAATCCTGTCAATATTAACTTTCCGATTTTATAATATTAAATTCAGTGATCAGTTTATATAGTGTCAAAATGTATCAAACTATCGAAAAAAAAAAAAAAATGATCCTTTATAATCTCTTCTTAAGGTGGTGCGTTCCACTAAACGCTCCAACGGTCGCGCTGCGTGTATTTAGATTTTAAATAATTTTTTGGTCGTGTTATTAGCGCTTAGAGGAACGCGCCCTTATTGGTTAGGATTATGGCGCGCGTTATTTAAATTTATAATTAATTTTAAATAGTTTCAATTAATACCAAATACTACTATTTAAACTGTAAAAACGAAAAAAAAAAAAAAAAATATTATAAAAAAGCAAAAAAAAATTAATTTTTAATACAATTAGTGGTAATTTCAGTTAAATAGTAATAGTATGTTAAAGGATAATTTTTTTTATTTGTAAGTTTTAACGAATTACAATATGTACATGATTTTAAATAAAATTTTATTTAAATAAAATAAAAATAAATATTATTGTAATTAATAATAATAGTAATAGTATATATTAACAATAATTGAAATATGTAGGTGATAGGTTACTGTTAATAATTGGTATAGTTATTATTATTATTATTATTATTATTGTAACATACAAGTACGAGAATACTTTCGTAAGCGACTGAAACGAATATTTATAAAAATTTTTATTTAAAGATATTAATTGTGGAATTTAAAAGTTTAATTTTTTAATTTTTTTTTTTTTTTTTTTTTTTTTTTTTTT